GAGACGGTTCCCCCGGCTCGCTGCCTTTGTACCCGTAATTATTCCAATTACGTTTTCAACAGTGAGGTTGCGCCTAACCCAGATACTTGCCCTCCACACCCATATCGGGCTGCGTGTCTTGCGTGCTCCAAATAACTCGAAGGGACTCGGTGGCCGTTTGTACTTTCTGGCTATTAAGGACGGTTATGTGAGTCACACCACACAAAAATTTGTTTGCAAAGGACAACTCGTCTTGTTTTCCCTGGCGGGGCGCAGTTAGGGGTAGAGCCAGCTCACTGCGGCCTGTGATGTTTGTGTGGTTTCTGTGGAAATCCACGAAAGTGCGGCGCATTAACCCATTTTGGGTGAGGGACACAAAATGCCAAATAAAACCCTCTTGAGAAGGCCATAGTATGCAGTCACCACACAAAACCCACTAAAATCAGTTTAATCATAGGTGAGCGTGATAAAAAGGCAGCGAGACGGCTTTCGGGTGTCCCCCCCTGGATGACTTCAAAGCCACCACCAACTTCAAGGCATCGATGCTTTAAAGACCCACCATGTTCAAAAAGACCCGATTCCTTATCTTTTGCAGCTCGGTTTTCCGTGCTGCTTGTGGGCGTGCAAAATGGCTTGTCCCTTTGGAAGTTCTTAGCAGGCAGCTCTGCACAATGCGCACAAATTCATTTGATGCCTCGGCATACACAGGCATAAAGAAGCTGCTGCTGCTGCCTTCTACAACCCGAGATACGTAAATAACAAAACAATAGATGAGTGTAAATAAAGCAGAGGTAGGTGTGAAACCTGAACCCCGAGCTGACACCAGTGAAAGGAAAAGCCATGCGGCATACTCCACGGACCCAACCCACGGGGAACATTATTGAAGCACGTCATTATACTAGCGTTAAGAGATGGTAGGCATTTCATTTGCTGTGTATGTTGATGGAGACAATATTGCTCCCGTTTAAACTGCTAAAGGCTTAAGCAATGCGTGAAAATTTTTCCACCTAAAGCTGAAATTGTATCCAAACTTATGAAAAAAATTAATCTGCCTGTTAGAATGGGGAGAAGGAAAGTGCAGGGAACACAAAGAGCAGCCCAGGCCCAGCCTTGGTGAATTAGGAAGCTGCCGTATAGCCAAATTTGCCAGCGTGCTGGAGATAAGGATGTGCTGCTGCGGCCAAGGCCCATCAGGGTGTGTGAGATGACAAACAGTACTTGCAGGGAGGCTCTCCAAAGCAGCAAATGTAGCTGCCTCACCCCCTCCCATATCTCTACCAGGAAAGGGAAGCACATACTTTCAAAGTTTCCCCCACAGAGTCA